GGGGGGGGGGGGGGGGCTGACGGCTCCGTTTCAGCATTGCCCCGGGCCCGAAATAATCTGTTAATCGTTATTCATAAAGATTTATCCACACCGCCTGACTGATGTACGATTTCATCGGGAATTCCTAACCTTAGACATAATTCGGACTTAAGCCTTGCCACATACAACCCTTTTCTTTTCTCATTAAAGCACATCATATACAAGAAAATATCAACATTGTTTTCTTCAGACCCCTGAATACATTCTGATATAATAATTAAATGATAATCACCTGTTTCTTTCAAATTTTGGAAGTGTCCATCTGAATATAAAACTGTTAAAGGTAGAAATTATAAGTTGCTTATCTTATTGTATGACTGACAAGTGGAAGTAAAATTTAAGAAAAAAAAAAAAAAAATCATATGTATTATTACTGTGTCTTGCCCATCAGTGTCTTCAGTCATTTAATTAATTGATTGTTTGGAATAGTGCACTTTTGTTGAGAATATACTTTAACTTTCTCACATACTACTTACACGTACTACTGAAAGGTTCACAGTAGAGAGAAAGTATTGTGTTACTGCGGCAAAAAAAAGTGGTTTTTCAACAGAAAAACCTGTGGATCCCTGATGTTAAAAAAATTGATAAATCCTATTAGTGTATGTTCTTAAGCAAATTCAATTTTTTGACAAATTTCTATTATAACATTTCTATTTGCTTTCTTCTTTTGATATAGTTTTGACTTTTTTTCAAATATTCGGAACTCATACATTATAAGCAATTCTTTTGAAAGAGCCTTTTGGTTAGTTTCATCATTCTCCATGAAAGAATTGGGAAATTCACCCTGATATGTAGTTTAATAATTACCTTTAAGTTAAATTTTAAATTATAATTTGTTTAAAGAAAATTAGCAGAATTATACATTTGACATATATTTAGGTTTGTTTCTGCTACAATTTAAACTATGATTTTAAATTGTTTTTTGTGTTTTATATTATACTCTTAAGTATGATACTCTTGGGCTGCCTTCTTGAAAATGAAAAAAATTATGTTTGACTTTTAGATAATTTTTTATATAAAATAATGAATATTAAAGAAAACATCTAAAACATGCTAAGAAATGTGGATATTTAAAAACAAGAAGGAAATGCAACTTTTATTGTTTTTTTTTTATAAAAAGGAACAACTGATAATATTTGCATTAAGAAATGCCCTTTTGTATTTTTATTTTTAGTTAACTATATTCCCATTCAAACTCTATTTCTCAAAAATCTTTCTTCCTGAAATATTTTCAATTGAATATTGACTTCTTCAAAAAGGGGTTAGGAGCAACAAAAACACAATAGAGTAAATACAGAGAAATTTTTAATATTAGAAATCTTAAAAGGTCACAATGATATGAATATAAATATGTACATTATGATGCCAAGCAATAATGAATATTATTAAATGAGAAACTAATATATATGTATATATTTCTCTTTTTTTTTGGTAGTATGATTTGGGCACTTCTTTTCAAAAGTTTCTCATAAACATGCAAAACATTTCATGCCTTCTATACCTTCCTTTGATAACAATGACATTATGTTCTCATGTTGTATGTTTTTTGAAAACATCATTGAAATAACAAAGTGAAAATAATGATAAATCAATTGAGGTGTTGCTTACAGAAGAATTGTACTTCATTGTTCTTGTAACACCCAATCCATCATTTTCCGTCAATAATTCTTACATAAATTAATTGATAAGATCATGAACATATGGCATAGCCTTATTCAGTAAAGAAAAGCCTCACAGACCTTCATTATTAACCACCCACAAAATGCCCTAGTTTACGTATTTTCTCCATTTGTTTGCCATTTCATTTTGTAAGACATACAAATCTACAAATATTCGTTTCTCTTAATAATGTCTAAAATATTTACAATTCGAATACGATAATGGATGAAAGGGGTGAAGGATAAGGGATGTGGAAGGATGGAGGGCAAGACACGGGCACAATTACATAATAAACTGGAATAATTCCTTTGTTTAAAAAAAAACATTGGAAGAGATAATACACATTCTTACTATGTAACTTGTGCTCATCTGTACAATGTTGCCTAAATTTATCAATATATATATGATAATGTACACTTTTTATACTTATATATAATAATGAAAGAACAATTTAATTATCCTGTATAATAGACAATATTTATTAATTTCTTTCATCACCTATACTGTGCACACTATCCATTGTTGAAACATTCACAAAGTGTCTTCTGAAAATTAATGTGTTATTGTGGAAATAATTCAGGAATATTGTCAGTCAAAGACTGTCAAGCAGGCAATACAAAACAAACTTGTGATGCAAGTCAATTTGAAACTCGCATATCATGCAGTACAGTCAAATATTTCTCTAACTTTTGCCCAAAACTGGGGAAAATTACCACCATAAACACAAAGAAGTAGGAAAATGTGTATTGAATATGAATTAAGCATTATTGGCCATAAACGGAAACTAATTATTTTTGATAAAAATGCACAATACATTTAAATATCTTGCAGTCACTACACTGTTTATACAAGAATCCATGCCCTGTTACATCCATAGTGTTTTAGAATCAATTTTTTATCAGAGTAGTCTTTTACATTTACATCATACAGGGAGATTTTCATAAAATATTTATCCCTATCACCATACACTACCTTTTTCCAATTTCACAAATAGTACTTCATACGTTTTGTAATGCCCATTTGCCAATACTTCACAAGAGTATAACTGAGTGAATTAATAAGAATGTTTAAGTTTCTGAGAAAGCTCTTTGATACTTGTCATCACATTACAATGCATTACTCTCTTTGAGATGTTTGTAATACATTAATACTCATACTTTCTATTTTCACTTCAAATGTACACCAGCTCTCATTACCAGTTAAACACAAGTTGTTTAATGTTCTCTTCAGAAAATATGCAAAACACCAAAATAGTACATGGTACTAAGACTATTTGCTTGTTTCAGCAAAACAGAAAAGAAAATATTTACAAAGTAAGTCAATCAACTGCAAACACAAAAATGAATACAGTAACAGATTCATCTAGCAAAATATAATTTAACACAATTAAAAATAAATACAGAATGAATATCAAATCCTAACATACAAATAAATCGGTATTACAAAAAAAATTGTAATTTCCAAAACTCTGGATGTCTGATTTCAAATACTTAAAGTTAAAACAGTATGCTCTTAATCTTCAGAACACAGGCAGCAATTGATAACCAAGTTTTGGTAAATAATGAGATCTTTTTTATACTGCAAATAATATAAATAACATCAAATTGATCCAAATGTTGTAACAACAGCAAATGTTTAGCATTGTAGAGATAAAGAAGTCAGAACATACCTTTCCATGAAGAGATTAATACCTAACATTTTACATAAATATTATTTTCCAGAATGCTCTGAGCAGATTTTACTGTACACTGTGGCTATATATACTGATCAAATTTATTACTAGAGTTACAAATCATTCATCTCCATCCTAAAATGACTTACACGCTCAATTCCTCTGTTCCCCAATTTTTTACAAGGAAAGATATGTCTGGATCCTTTCAGTCACAAGAAAAAGCAAACTTCTATTATTTGATCATTATGTACACATTGTATGTGACAGTTTATATCAATTTTGAACATTTTTTTATAAAAACTTATATTTTTCATAATTAGCCTAAAAAGAAGATATTAATTTATAAATTGTGCTACAATTAGCAAATTACTTTATATTACCTAAAATACAAAAGCAGGGAACATGAATGAAAACCATCATGGTATAAGCTCCATTTATTGCATGCCCACTGAAAATTTATTAACTGGTCAAATGGACTAGAAAATTTTCCATTAAGAAGACTAGCGGTAACAGGCAAAAAGGGCAATGCATAAAGAAACAAATGCAAGTAAAATTTTCTTCTTTCTAGCATATAAGTGATTGTATTAATTAGTTCCATATAATAACAAGTTTAAAAAAAGAGAGCTCATCTTCAAGACAAAAATTTTTTCAACTAGATACATTATAATAAAAAATGCCAAAACTTGCAAATTTTCGATTCTAAATAGCAACAACAATAATCATGCAACTATATATTATTCAGTTTTTCACAAAGTAATTTCACAAATTTCATAAAAAAGTAACTCATTTGGAACATCATGAAAAAGAAAACAAAAGTCTAATTCTTCTTATTCTTCATGTATAGTAAAAAAATTTGGAATATTCATTAGTAAATAACAAAATGTCAATCAAGCACAATAAATGCACATATGCAGCAATATTTCAAAGAACATTTTGTTCCATCAATAAATTGTGCTATCAATACAATTCTTTTATTCAGAAGCATCAAATCATGCTATAATTCCTATGTACAAAGTATATCGTCTCAAACCTTAATAGTAGTTTAAACTGCCCTTCACATAAAACAAAACAAAAAAATATATATTCAACATTTAAACAGTCTGGAAAAATGCAGAGAAGTTTTTGTAATTACATTGGATAAGAATCTTTTTCAAAGTGCCAAAGTCTGCAATATATATACCTATATATTTTATAACTCACTGGGGCCTTCTCATTGATATATTTATATGTATATATAGTATATAACAGATCTTCAAAAATCTCAGGCATCCACACACACACAATTTTGTATCTCAGTTTGTCATTTAAATACATTCACAAGCATTGTTTTGTTTGTTTGTTTCTGTTTCTTTGATACTTATAAGCTCTTTATCACATTAAGTAAGAAGTTTTCGTGGCAAATAATTTGCCTTTAGTATTAATTTTTGGCTATCAGATGTTGAGATAATTAACAGTCTTATGTACTATTTTATAAATTAATGGTAAAAGTTCCTTTTTACAGTTTACTTACTCTTTTTCAGAGAGTAAGATGATAATTTAAAAATCTAGTAATAATTACCTCTTTCAAGAAGAAATAACGGCACACTTCTTAAAATTCTTTTTCATCCTACTTTTTAACAAACAAAATTTTAATAGCAATAATAGTAAAGATAATAATCAATGATAATCACAATAATAAAAACAAGTATTAACTTCGATGATTGCACATTTTTCTTTCACAAATTATTTTTTGGAGGAAGTTTTCTATCTTTGTAAGATGTTCATTCTTTCTCCTCAAGATTTGCAAATATTTTACACAGCACTTCACTAATTGTTGCTCTCACTTAATATTCCCAACCATCATCTTGCCGACTTTCTGTCTTGATCATTTTGGGTAATTTGTCTAAAGCATCCTGCTTAGAAGAATTTTCGTCCCAGTCACCTTTCGATTGGTCATTTGTTGACGTGTCCTGGTCCTCCATTTCTTGTTTGACAGCTGTTAACGCTGGTTCTGTTTGCACCTGGGGAGCTGAATCTTCTTCTTCTTTGAAAAGTGGTGAAGAGGGTTCAGATTTATTACTTCGACCTTCGTCCTCAGGCTCACCTTGATCCGCTGATCGAACAGGTGGAATAATTCCTTCAGGAGGTGTAGTTGGAGTTGCAGTTTCAAGATTCTGATTTTCAGGCTCTGATGAGGCATCACTACATTGGTCTTCCTCATCATCATCTTCATATCGATCCATAACTGGTGTTGGTTCCACACGAACTGTTTCTTCATCTTTAGACATCTTAGATATGCCATAATCATCAGTTTGCATGACACAAACACCATTTATTATAACCTCTTTGTCCCCACTTTTCTCCTTACCCTCTTCAACAGCACCAGACACTTCCTGCCACTCGGGGTTCACCCACTGTGGTGCCGCAGGTTTACGTCGAGAGGATCTCCCTGCCCCCGGCCCTATCGTTGGAGGTAAGACAACAGTGGATTCCTTTTTCACTGTTGTTTCTCGCAAGCTACTGCTAGACATATTAGAGTCCTCACTCCCTACATTACTATCTACATCTTCTTCATCTTCAAAGTCAGGTTCTCTCTTCAAACCACTCATACTAAGGTCCAAACCACTGAACTGTTCCTTATTTCCAGCTCCAACACTTCCTAAATTACCTGCCAAGTCACACTCTCCTGGAGGCATAAGTCCACGACCCATAAGAGCTGCAAGGTTATTATTTGCAGCAAAATATGGAGAATAAGGTAAATGAACTCCACCAAGTCCCATTCGCTCTTTTTGGAGTTCTAACAATCTTTGGTTCAGCAATAACCTGAACTGGACAGGATCAAAAGACCCTCCTTCTCTACTCACAGGTGGCATGTTGGAATTGTCAGGGGACATCCCATGAGGTACTTGTTGCTTTAACCTCATCCGATGATTGTGGAACCAATTGGTTATGGTTCTACTTGATAAAGCAAGTTCAGACCCTAAGAATTCAATAGTTTGCATGCTAGGATAAGAGTCTAAAGCAAAAGCCAAACGCAATGCTTCTTTTTGCTCTTCGGAGAATAGCACACGTTGCTTCTTTGCTGATGGGGGACCAGGTCCTGGACTGGGGCTATGGTAGAACTCGGATGTATCATTTGAAGAGGTATCACTGCTGTTGTCAGCACCTCCACCTCCTCCACTGCTTCCACCATGATGACCAGGTCCACTACTGCGACGTCTCTTATTTGCTTCTCGCCGTTCGTTCTTTAAGGCCTGCAAGCGATCAATATTGTTGGCATCACTCAACCAGAGCTGCATGCGGATGAAAGGTTCTCGCCCCTTGATGCTCAACATATGCCATGGCTTTGGTTTTGAGAGGAGCTCAGAAACTGACCCTTGAGACAGTCCAAGTACAGCCTCTCCAAATATCTGAAAAAGTGAAATTAATAAATTAATGAAAAAAATTCATGCTTCATTCTTTCAATTTCCTCACCCACCAATTAGTCTCTTATGAAACAGACTAAATTCATTTCATCAAGGCAGTGAGGAAATTGTAGCATATAAAATGGTAAGCCAATTGCTTGCCAAGAGCAAAGCTTTATCACTTTTTTTTCAGATAATTATTTGAAATCTCTCAAAACTGAACTGATGGAAGAAAATGTATTATTCTTTTAATACATATTTAAGGAAGTTTTATAAAATGATGATAAATGACATAATCAAATGAGCAAAAAGAAAGGAGAACCTTCATCAATATTACAGTACGCCATAGGATTCTACCTTCAAATTATATATATAGCAATATAAATAATATTTACATAATTTTATAGTTTTATGAAAAAATGTTTTAAATAGAAAGTAATGACTCCATCTAAAAATATTTGAACAAAATTACTTGAACTTGTGTATAGTTGCTTCAGAAAAATTCAGAATGGAATGTTGGCCACAACTTACTTTCTGCCCAATGTTGTTGGCTAATAAGGCCTCCTTAATTTTTGTGGTAATGACTTGAGTGTCCAAGTCCTGTGTGAGAGCAGCCATCTCATAGACGGAGGGAGTCATGTGTTGTTGCATGGCCCGCAGAGCTCCTGGAGGAGGTTGTTGCTGGTGGTGGGGGTGCAAGCCATGGGGATTGGGACCCTGAGAATGTGGCTTTTTGAGATCAGCGGGTAAAGACGACGCTAGGGGATGGTGTCCTGGAGGAGTGACCAAGAGAGGGGGTGGAGGAGGAGGAACAGAATTTGCTCCTTGGGAGGTTGGATGTCCTCCTGCAACCATCTGTTGGAGAGAAGGGGGAAGAATAGGTGGTCCACTACCAGGTCCACTTTGTCCATCACCTCCACCCAGATGGCCCGCCTTGGCAGCTAAACTGTCATGGCCTGTCATTTTTGATACAGGAGGTTGTGGTTTGCCCAAAGTGCAAGCTGTGAACATAAAAAAGTTTATGATTGCATGTATTATCAAAAGGAGTGATAGAAATTGTTTTATAGTAATCTTAAAGATAATGCATTTATTTCTTGAATAATAATTGAATTAGCTTTTATTACAAGTTTTTGAAGAAAGTGTAATTTTCTCATAAGAAAACATAACAAAATGAAACAAGAAATTTCATGCATTAAGAACAATTTGTTTTCATAATCTTATCAAGAATTTTATTTCAAAGTTATTTCTTTAATCATGTTGCAATTTCTAAAGGCACACAAACATTATAATGAAAAGGAAAAAGTAGAATTTTTATTACATCATACTTCATACAAAGTTTCGTGCATAAGAGAAATTAACAGAGGAACCAAAATTAGAGTTTTTTGTTATCTTCATGGAAGATTTTCATCACTTGATCGTAGAGGCAAAACAATTTACCATTCTTTCATGTTTTAGTCAAAGTACATGCCTTTGCCAAGTCAACACAAACGTCTTAGCAATGATTGAAATTGCCTTTTATCAATACTATAGAATATGTTTTTCAACAAGCCACAATATATGTTTAATGAACTTTGTTTTCTGGATTAAATTATACAAAATATACTCAGGACTATACAGTGAGAATAATTTTTAGATTGAATGAAAAGAAAATTTTATATCAAAAGAAATATTATTCCATTATTATAATGTCAAATAATTATGAATAGTATGCAAATTTTAATGAATGTTAATAGATTCAATCAGAGACATATATAGGACATGGCATACCATATACCATAGGTTCTACTGGCAGGGGGCATTGGACTTACAATTATATTTAATAATGGGAAAACCACTTCATTCAGAAATAATGTAATAAATACAAAGTTTTACAAGTATCAAAACAAGTCTCATCTTAATTTTATGTGTTCCTTTATAAAATGTATTTTGATAACTATCAAATCAAATTATTCTTATTGTTTGTTAATTTATTTTTATTCCAATAACAATTTAACAGATGTTGTAATCAAAAAGAAAACAATTAATAAATTTAATTCAAATTTTATTGATCAGTTGGCAAGGAAATTAAAATTACGTTTAGTTCATTAGAAGTAGTTTTTTTTGTTACACTATTTTTATAACTGTCACCTTCCTGTCACCTTGTTCGACGCATTTATGCTCGGAGAATATATTCCGCAGTCATAAAGAAATCCCAATTGTGACCATGCTACTGAGTAACAATGAATTTTGAACAAATTTAATTATTACACTATTTTGTTGAAATTTAATGGTCATGCACACCACACATTAAATTTGTAAAGAGAGTTGAACATTTGGCCATTTTTATATTTAATTCTAAAGTTAAATATGAGTAATATTTTAACATGAACAAGAATCAAATGTAATTGTAATTTTTCAAAGTTTCTTCGTTTGCTGCTTTTGTAAGTGGGGACACAAATTAGTAATAGTGGCTCTGGAATAAATTCTGTGGTGGCCATGGTCATCCAATTACCTACATATGCCTTTGGTTTCTCAACTTCAAATGCATTTGATAAGAGTCAATAGTCCTTTATCTATTTTAAAGAAATAGGTCATCACATTTTGCCTTCTTTATGAAGAAGTGGCTCTGGACCTCACTACACATGATGCTTCTCTATCAAGAACATGCAAGCAATCCAAGCAAGAGGCTGTGTTGCAAGCATACATCCACAAGTGACAGAACGGCAATACTGACACTTACGAGGCCCACCGGCATAGTTGCCGGTCCGCATCAGCTTCTCAGGGGCGATTTTGTACTGGCTGGCAACCAACTTATGCACCGCATTTTCGTCTTCCAGAAACATTTTCATTCGGATGAAGGGCTCTCGACCCTTCTGGGTGAGCATGTGCCACGGCTTTGGTCTGGCTAGGAGATCTGAGACCGACCCTTGGGAGAGACCCAACACAGATTCTCCAAAGAGTCTCTGACTGATGGAATACTGGCTGAGAGCTTCTTTCACCTGCAAAAAAATATGAGTTTACGTAAAACAGAATTTGAAAAGCCACGGAATTATGTGCTAGGATTTCCGTGCGAACTCTGCGGAAATGGGACTTCAGTGAATAATGAAGCACTGCTAAGCAACTAGACTCGAAAATTCTTCCCCATATCTCGCATTTCAATAGACTGTATATGCAGCGATTTAGTTTCCCAAGATTTCATTTATTCACGCTCTTGCGTGCATAAGCGCCGCATTTGTGTTTTTACTTTCAGTTAACGCACGAAAAATATAAGTACACAGGTAAACTCATAATTCAAGAACGAGGGAGTATAAGATGATAAACTTTATTCTGCTTTGCATAGGACCAAAAACTACGGTTTCAAATATATTATTGTATACTTTTCTTTTTGTTGTATTTTTTAACATCAGGTGCATGGTGAATTCGGAAATCAGAATCAGAATCCGGGGAAATCCGGGAAATTTCCTGCGTGTGTTGTGTCTGCGGGCGCTCTCACCTTCTTGACGATCTCCTCGGTGTTGAGGTTGTTGAACATGTCGAACTGCTGCTGCGTGATGGGCGGCAGCACGGCCTTGAGCGGGCGCTGCGAGGGGCTGTGGTGCGTGGGCGTGGTGGGCTGCGAGATGAGCGAGTTGGTGATGGAGGCCATGCGCTGCAGCGGGCTGGCCGCCGCGGACCCCACGAAGTCGTCGGCGGGCGTCATGGCTGGCGGCAGGATGGAATTGCTCAGCGGGCTGCTGCCCGTGCTGCTGCCTGTGGTGGACGGCTGGCCGCCGGCCGGCGCGCCGCCCGCGCCTGCTCGCCAACGCAAACCCCACGTCACTCCCACTGCCACTCCCACTCCCACTCCCACCCACGGCCACGTCAACCTTGATAGCTCCAATTCGAGCTACCAAGGTTGCGCTACTATGCCGATAATTACAATAATAAGAAGTCATTGAAAATTGTAAATGTAAGTAGCCTGTCTTTATTAACTTCTTTTATTAATCTTGAAGGTGAGGAGTCCCCAATTAATTTTTAATTCAGAAAATTTTATACATTTTTTCTTTATTATTCATGAAATAATTTTTAATTTAACAATACATCTTTTTATGTAATTTCTTTTGGAAATTTTAGCCTAATGATGGGGACAACGAATCCCCGAAACTGCAGCAAATTATGGTGAGAGCGCAAAAAGAAAGAAAAAATCTAAAATAGGCTGCCTATAAAACTATTTAGTGACTTATCACCTTCAAGGTGTTTTAAAAATAATAATATGAATTTATAAAATTTCCTGAGAAACTGGACATGTATGAATCGAAGAGTCCGGCAGTTGTTAGGAGGAAAAGTGAGATGTATAGAGTTTAACAACAAATTTTTAGTTTTTAAATTCTGACTCATTATCTGTACGAATTCGTTACATCATTATTGTAATCATCAGCGTCATTAAATATTGCAAGTAGAATGAAGAACGTTTCAGAACGTCAAATGTAAGATGGTTTCGAGAAAACGATTAAAACGGAAATATTTGCCAACAGAGTTATTATTTTCACAAGAATTAGTTAAAAATTTAGAAAAAAATATTTAAAAACAACTCTGCAATGTGTCGTACATTTATCTTGACTGATCGTGACTGAACATTTCTTGTTAACCCCAAACGTAACCCCAATTGTTAGCGTTATGAAAAAAATAATTAAGGAATGAATGAGTATTTGAAGATAATTCACATTCCTGTGTTTCATGAAAAGAGAAAGGCGCAATTGATGTAGCAGTCTTACCAGGTTCCACCTTGGGCCGGACGAGCGAGAAGGCGCTGCCGGCGTGCCGCAGCACGTCGGCGACCGAGTCCATGACGCTAGCCGCCGCGGCCGCCGCCGCCACCGCCGCCACGCCGTCCTTCTTGTCGGCGTCCAGGAGCAGCTCTCCGTTGGGCAGCTTGTCCTTGCCGGGCTCCTTACTGCGGTCCTTGGGCATGGACAGGTCCTGCGCCACGCCGTTCAACTGCGCGTGCTGCTGGTGTTGCTGCTGTTGCTGTTGCTGCTGCTGTTGCTGCTGCTGCTGCTGTTGGTTGAGGGCTTGCTGCTGAAGCGCGAGAAGCCCGGGCAGCCCCGGGAGGCCCGCCGCCGCGCTCGTGGGGCAGGACACGGAGTTGAGCTTGGCCAGCTCGCGGTGGTAGGCGTCCAACGCCATGCGGATCTCCTCCTGCGCGCGGTCCATGGGCGGCGGGCCACCACCCGCGCCGCCC